AAATTGTTTGCACTAATAAAATAAAGAGTATTGTATTTTCCCCCTTGAACCATGCCTAATAGTAGAGAAAGCAGAGATCCTCTCATAGCCTCATTTCTTTAGGCAGTGCAAATCTTACTGGCTTCAGTGCACTGCATCAAACTCATTGCTGGAAGAAAAAACCACCACAGTCCCTCATAGCTTCCTTGGCTTACCAGGTCTCCCTATACTACATCTGCAGCTAATAGAGGCGTGTTTGCAGGATCCTGGATTAGCTGACTTGACCCTGTCCACTTCTTTGATTTCTCCCTGGTGGAAGATCAGAGAAGTGGTTGAGGAAGTGTACAAACATACAAGACATTCACAAGTGTCTATTTCTATCTGAAAGAGAGTAGAGAAGGTGGGACATCTGCACGGGCCATACAGCTGCTTTTCCAGACTGACAGCTAGAAGCCAGCTGGGATTCCTGGGGCATCTGAAATGATATTAGAAGCCTCTATTTAGGCAACTGAATCAAGCCCTCAGCAAGGCCAAAAGATGTGTTCCATCCAGCAAGGCCATGAGCTCCTCCTGAAGCAGATGCCTCCTGAAGGCTAAGAAGCTCTGCAGACTTCGCTGCATGATTTGCTTAGGTATGCACCAAATGTAATGGGAGATCAGACAAACGACTTAGTGAGAGACCAAACTTAGCTGTCTTCATCTATTTATTGCTCTTAAATGTTTCGTGAATATTTATTGTGAGTGAAAACAGGGCATCCCAGAAATAGCCCTGAAAACACTGGTACAAGGTTGGTGCCCTGGCATCGATATATTCCAGTGGTTTACTGTGAAGTCCCTAAGCTCTAAAGGACCTTGTGAAAGTAAACCCTGTGGCTGAGTGTCTATTACCAGAGACATTAGTTCACTTCAGCTGCCAAATTTCTTTTCTAGTCAGACCTGCCAGATGTCTGGATTTGATCTGAACGATATATATTTGAGGTCAGGTGTATGGATTACATCACGATCCTTCAGAAGTTTAGTTGTCCAATTCCCAGGGCCTAGATAAGACTAACTTCCTTCTGTAGCCACACCATGGGACTAGAAAAACGCATGGCTAAAGCATCTAGATCAGGGCTAGACAGATCTGGGAACTAGATTCTAGTTCTGGTACCTGGATTCCTTAGTTCTTGTGAAGAGCACAAAAATGACTTTTTTACTACCACCTTATTGCTTATTGGCTACAATACCCCAGTCCATGATACTGGTGTGGGATTCAGCTACCAAATTTTGCACTGTATCTGTCTCTACCTAGCCAGTAACTCAGGTAGCCTTTATGGTCAAGGGACAAAATAGGTGTTGGGTGCAATTTCCCTGCCCTCTTGTAGATATTTCCTTTATGATCAGATGAGTCACACCTTGGGCTCCATTGACTATACTGAGCAGTTCTTCAATGATCACAAAGCTGACTAGCTCCAGCTGAGACTTGTGAAGGGCTACATAAAGTTAAGTGAGTCCCACTAGAGTGGTCTTTGGAAGAACGGTATCCTGTGCCTTGATTGTCCTTTTGCTCCATTTACAGGACAAGCCCCCCCTTCCAGTGACAGTCACCCTGGTTATTTATATTGCCCCGACACTCCAGTTGTGGCTGAGAACTATACGGTACTAGGTGTCATGGAGACACACATGACTAAGAGGATCCCTTCCCTACAGTACTAGCGAAGACTCATCTGACAAAGGGCGGGCTTCCAAGAACAAGGATAATAGTGAGTCACTCTCTCTAAACATGGCAAGGGCAGATGCAGCTGTGTCCACCAAGTTGTGTTTTGTGTCTGTTAAGAAAATACCACACTATAGGGAAAAGAAACTGTCCAGTGGAAGTGTGGCTGTGCTGCTTTATTGCACTAGTACTTCAGACCTGGGTGCATGTCCACAGCAGTGAGGAAAACTCAGGATGAATCCTAGCTCTTCAAGACCAAAATGTGAAGGGCAGGTTGGTTTCACAGCTAACATGCGCTATACTGAGTCATAGTTACAATATTGAGTAGAATCTTACTGCACCTAATAAAACCAACAAAAGGATGCAGGCAGACAGGTGAACTTTAGGAAGCAATAAGATATTGATCAGTTGACAGATTTGGGGAAAGAGAAACAATCTTGAAAGCACTACTTCCATGGAGACTACTTTCCACTCCCTGTTTCTATGGCAGTTGTAATCAGAAGATCTTAATTGCCCTATGGTTTGCCTGGTCCTTGATGTGGAAGAGAAAAAGGGAAAGATACAAATATTTTCTTTATTGGGAACTGGAAAGGGATACTGAGATGGCAAATGTGAGCTTGACACCAGGTCTGCTGACACTAGTAAGTGTCCTTCCAGAGACCTGAAATGCATCCCTAGAAAATAGACTGATACCTTACAAATACAGCGAGACAACAGATTGTATGCCTCAGCTTGTGGCTCCAGAGGAACAAGAACATGAGCTCCAGGACACAGATACTGCACTTCCTGTTGCTAACCAGGAGGGTTTGGTGCTGACTGACAGGTTAGGCAGCGTATAAACTAGTCATAGGTTGTCTACAGGGCAACCATGTGCAGAAAAGCTAGAGTTCATGGAATATAATATGAAAAGCTTTGGCTCAAGCCCCATGTATCCAATCTCAGATAGGAAACCCTCAGCCGGTGTAAATGATACGCCTTCCAGTAGCTGCCACAAAGCAGTCACCCCAAGGACTTTGCCTGAAATAGACCTTGCCTTGTTTTCACAAATCCTGGCATTTATGACTCTCCCAGATATGCTGTGTTCAGAGTTACACACCTATCTATCTCCATCACTCTCCCCTGCTCTGCACTTTCTGAGTGACCCTCTGTGCACTCTCACAAAAAAAAAAGCCACCCCCAAAATCATTTTTTATTGCTCTTCTGGGCATGGTCTGAAATCTTGCTCTTACAAGGATGACAGCAGAAATTCAAGCTTGATGTTCATCACAGTGCTCTAGGGAAAATGGGCCGTGGCTGTCAGTACCTCAGGTATGACAGACTCAGAAAGCTTCCGTGGCAAAACAAGTAGAGGTAGTGTGTGTGTTAGCATGGCAATCACTTCAAAATTAACATAAGCAGTATCTCATTAATGCTGTACATCCACCATGCTGGCTTGAAACATGGTCCAGTGCTGGAAGGACTGTAAATTTCTGCTTTGGACAAATACTAATTGGAAAAAGGATTTTATTTTTTATGAAAATGTACTCCTGATAGCAACAATAACCTGTAACTTCTGACAGTATCTGCTGCATTGCAAATTCCTTTTTCATCCCAGACTTGTCTAAAGACAGAGCAAACAGAGATACTCAATCCATGTATTTCTAACCTGTAGATATATCTGTCCCATCACACACAAAATGCCAGGAGGCTGTGCATCGCTGTTGTGATGCATGCAATGAATAAAAGCACTGACCGCGTCCTCTCTCATCAGACAGTTTTGTTTCCCAGCTACCACGAAGATGGTTTGCATCACTTTGCAGAACTCGGGGCACGGAGAGCAGTCAGTGGCATACACGGGCACATTTCCAGTCTTACGTGTATCTCTGCCGCACTAGATTCTATCATGCTAGTTGGCGTGCCGCATGGAAGGCTACGTGAAGACTCTTCCCTGCTCCTCCTCTTTGGCAGAGATGATAGGTCTAACTAGACAGAATTTCAAATCTCCCTCCTCCCTTATCTTATTGAGGCACATGGATCCAAATGAGACTTAGGAGGGGAAAAAAGTTATGAAGTTTTGTTAATTTAAATTTGCTGTGCATTGCCAATCAGCTCAAAGTTGAATGTGATTGAGCTGTTAGGGCAGGATGCCTCCACAAGCAGGGGATTAACATCAGTGTCTTCCAAGATACCTTCCAGTCCTGTGTAGTCCTGAAATCTGGAGATTTAAATCCACCTTGTGCTGGAAAGTCCTCTAAAACATGTGAAGAAAATTCAGAATAAGCATGCTAAAGTGGAAAGAGCCAGTTACTCCAGCACTGGTGAGATACAGGTGATGCAGAACATTTATACAACTTCCTTTTTTCCTTCTGCTGTTGCAAAGCCCAATGGAGGGAAGAGGAGTGCAGAGGGACAGGGATCCAGTGTAACACCATGAGCTGAGAAGGGAGATAATTAATCTTGCATTTAAATGCCTTCTTGCTCAGATTTTATCATAAGGTTGTTCTTCTTATTGGCTCATTATCAAACAGGATTTCTTTCCCTGCTCTTAGATACAAAACCACTCTCAAGATAGGTGTCCTCTTCCTTTCCACAGTAAAGAAACTGATGCCTGGTTTTATTGAAACCAACCCAGAGTAGTGTTTATTATTGAAAATATACAGTATTTTTGAACATCACATAAAAAGCCTAGTAGACACAACTGCTCTAGTTTAAAATGCTCAATAGATAAACTTTGTGCAGCATGTAGCACTATCCTCATAATGCAGACATCCTCTTCTCATTATTATTTTTACAGTGCTTCCCTTTTATAGTTTTTAAACCCAGAAAACATGTTCTGTTGTCCTTCTCCGCCCCAGTCCTCTTAGCTGAAAAAACCCAAAGACTTTCCAAAGGCTACTTACATTGTGTCGAAAGCACGGGGCTAAGAGGAATAAGGATATTTTATAGAGCTATCTAGAGATATTGCTGTCCTTTTCAAGATTTTGTGTATGAACAGGGCATGGTTCTTGCAAGGCAAAGGGCCCTGTGTTAAGCAGTCCAGCGATGTCCTGGCCAACTCCCAGTCTATCAAGGGGAGAAACGGGAAAGGTAGATAAATCCGGATTTTTCACACCACCTTTCAGATGCTCTTTTTCTCGCTGACACATGTTCTCAAATGACAGTTCTGCAGAGAATAATTTTTTACAAAGAAACAAGAAAGAGATGGACTATCTATACACCAAACTGTTGTGAAATCATTGGGAATTAATGTACAGGGTGAGATGGGCAGTATGTTTAAAAATAGTCTTTGTCCACCACAATACAGAAGGGAAAAACAAAAAAAAAAGGAAGGCGAAAAAAATTGACTGTTCCCGCCAGTGTGCTGTTTTAGACTTTGTATTGTGAACTTCCACAAGGTGCAAGGAGTCAGTGTTGAATCTCTTTCTTCTTTGAATCTGTTTCACCACCACTTACTCCAAGAGGCTTTTGCCTGGTTGCCTTAAAGCAGCATCATGAATATGGGAGATAAGAGTCCACAAAAACATGATGGGCACCTCATTGTGAAAGAGAGCAGTGCAGAATAAAGGAAAAAAGTCTGAAGAAAGGAGCTTGGGAAGAATGAAGAAAGAACCCTGAAGACCATCAGGCAGTGTGTGTACATGCAGGGCATATCACACGGCTGCCGTCTGTTTGATGCTATGGAAGCTGATTCGTGTTGGAGAAGTGGGGATAGACATGGCACGTGCCACACGCGCTCGGAGGGAGTGATGGTCTTGCCAGCGGTGCCATCTTTTCCTGGCAGCAGAACGGACCTGGTGAAAAAAAAAGGAAAGAACATGAACACTTAGAATACTCAGGTGTCCTCTGTAAAGGGACACTAAACAGCCTGAGACAAATGATGATATGTGTCAAGCCAGCGAAACATGCAGGGCTTGATTCAGGTGCCTAAACATGGGCATCTAGTTCACTTGATATTCTCCTGGGTAAGGCACTCTGGGAAAAGCATGGGTTTCACATATCTCATGTCTCATATCTGATGTCTTAAATACCCCAGAGTATTAGGCAATAAATGCCTAAGTTTATGCGACTGAACCAAGCTGTCAAGATGGATGCACCTGATGGAGGTCTTAGAGAGACCTATCACAGGGCCTGTAGCTGCTTCCCGTGTATATGAAGGGGAACCACAGATCATCTAACTGAACACTGGTGTCTACAACACAGACACACCTGACCCAACCCCTGTGAGCATCTTGTATAGGCAGTGGAGAGCTACTCTACAGTCAACAGAAGGTCATCTTCAAGGAGATGCTTACAAATAGGCCAGATGAACTTTGGCCTTGAACAAATAGACCTTGAACTTTACATATTTTTGTTGCATGAACCAAAGAGAGAGCCCCGAAGCTCTATCTCAAATATAACGTATATAAGCAAGGGAAAGACAGGTGATAGGAACACTAGCCTCAAACACAATCGGAGGCAAATATTGAGATACTCTTAACATAGACTTCAGTAAATTCCTGCCAAATCATTGCCATTGAAGACTCAAAGTCAGAAGTTGAAATGAAACATTTAGACCAATTTCTGGATATTCTTGTTGCTTCCCACTGTAGAGATGAGTGCAATTCAGGCCCCTAACCTAGGCAACTAGGTAATCCTACAAAACCACGTGAGATGAATCTGGGTCCAATGACTTCTAGACTTCTGACTTCTTGGACAGTCAATGGGTAGTTGTACTCACAACACTTGGAAAGGATGTTGACATTCTGCTGCCAACCTGAAATCCAGTCAACTTTGAAGAAAGAGCATTTCTACATAGAACCTCTATATCAAACCAGGGCCTCCTTTGCCAAAAACATATTTGTTTAGAACATGAGGTTATAAAAAATATAAAATAAACAATACACCTCAGCTACTGACCCATAGTTCTCTTCCTGACCAAGAACAGAACCAGTCAGTATGGTCAAATTCATCTCCTTCTAAAGCAGATCTCCAAAGTAGGCCAGATACTGTGGTCAGATGAAAAATACCTCTTTCCTTTTATTAGTTATAAAGTGATTCTAGACAATTAGCTCTGCTTCAGATGTCTGGATTATAAATTTAGCTAAATTTAGACAATATTGATATCTTACCCTGAATGTTTTTCAATTTTTAATGTACTTCACTGCATCCGTCAAAAGTAAGGGAGTGCTCTTATCCCCACTTTACCACTGGCAGGCTAAAGCTTGGGTATTAATAACAGTGATGATGTAGAGTAGACCTCAGCATGGATCAGCTACCATGGCAACTCTACAAGGCCTGGGATGAGCCTGCACAGCCTGTGTGAAACCCATGCTGACACAGCTTCTCAGCTATCAGCACCTAAGTTAGATCTAACCCATCCTGGGTGTATCTATAATCACCACTGGGATTGCAGGGAAGATGGTGTTTGCCCAAAGGTGCACAGACACTGTTTTTCTCCATTTCCTTTAAAACTTGGGGCCTGTCTTCAGGTACAGTGTGAATACTACTCAAAACATGAGGAACACACACTTCCCAATGCCACGTCAGACCAGCTCCAACATGCTGCCTAACAGGTGCTCAAATGAGCTGATGAGCTCTAGTAGCAGAGGCATTTCCCACCCAAACCACACATTGTCAGCATTAGGTGTCCTAGATGAACAGGAATGATGGCCTGACAGTTAAAACATACCAAAGTTCATAACGAGGATGTAGGGAGAAACTGCACTCCTCTCAGATGGTTTCAATCCTCCCATTTCTTGGTGGGTCTTCAGGGAATTAGACCCATATTCTCTAGCACTATTACTTATAAACTCTGTACTGTTGTGATCTGGCACCTAACAATCGCTTCTCATCACCAGCTTTGTCCATGAAATGCACGTCATTTCAGGTTTGTGAGTATCAACTTGGAAAACAGTTTTGCAGTTGTCCTCTTTGGTGCCTTGGCAGGGGAATCCTGAAGCTGGAAATCTGTCTTCTTCCCTTCTAGAAGGTGCAGATTGGGCAAAACAGACCTGAGGATCTCTTTCTTTGGTTGTTTTCTTGACTGTGGGTGACCCGTGCTTCTTGATCTGACACTTAAGACAAGTAGTTGCAGATGTTTATAGTAAGGTGAGAAGAGTGCCACACTGGCTTGCTTTTGATTTTGAATCAATGATTTGTTGCAATGTAAAATAATGGGTTTTACACTTAATAGGTGGGTCAGACCCTAGAAAAATAAAGGCTATGAGGGGATAGGACTGTTTGCATGGAAAAGGGGAAGAGTGAACATCCAATGAAAGAAGGATTAAAGTTAAAAGACAGCACTGCTGGGAGGAGCATGATCATCACAAATGAATTTGCAATGAGAATGAGAATAATGTGGTTAAACAACAGGGCATTTTGGGGGGGGGGTTAGGAAATCCAGGGGATTTCTGGAAGAGCAGTAGGTACAAAACACCTACACTAGTTTCAAGCTGGGGTTTGGTCAGTTTACAAAAGGAGTTAAATGAGATAGTTATATGAGATAGCCAGAGTCAGGATGGGCTGACTCAGCTGTATGCCACTACAGTAGAAGCCAGCCTGGACTGCTGACTTTCACTGTCTCATCAAACTGATCTCATTGTTTCACTGCACCCTTCTGTTAAAACATGAGAAACAGTGGAAAGAAGATGTGTCATGGTGTTGCCCTTTCCTGGATGCCCACTGTTTGCAAACCTATCATGGTTCTACCTGCAGTGGCCAAGGGATACTTATTTCTGATTCTGGATTTAAGGGTGTATATAAATATACACCCAAAGGCAAATACATGTGTACGTACAAGGGGGGGATGCATCTCATCTGAAAGCTTGATACCTAGTCTTGGACAATTATTTATGCTTTCAATAGACAATGGAGAAAGTGAGACGATCCGCCTAAAAGGTGACTTAGATATGTAGAAGGAGTAAGTCCTTGCTCCATCTTGCTCCTCTGAGTACAAAACCAGCTTAGCTAAATGTTGGGCACCTAAGGCAAATGGTGTAAGTAACATGTAAAGTGTCGGAGGGGTAACCGTTGTCAAGGGAAATTGTCCTGTGAAGAACATCTGCAGAGGGATGTTGCCTCTCGAATGTTCATTTCTCCCCAGATGTTACCAAATGCTGAGATATTATTAGAAAAAGTTTCTCCCCTTTCTGATGGAGTGAAGTTCACCCTTGTACAGGGAGCCTGTGATCCACTGAAGCCCTTCAAAGAGGTGAATTTCTTCATGTCTGGTGCAAAAGCAGAGAATAAATCTCTGTGTACAGCACAGTCTTGCCAAAGACATTAATAACAGACTGGCAGCCCTGTGAGCTCATGTATCCCAGGCATTTCTACAGCAGCATTTCACTGGGTCGTGGAAAGGGGGAGTCACCTGGTGGGATTTTTGTGTTTCTGAGCAACTTGTGCGAACAGGTACTTACTCAGACAGTGAAGCCAGATTAGATTTATCATTTGTGCTTCAAACCAATCAAGTCAAAAAGAGTGACCTGGAGATAAAGACGTGAGTCTAAACAAGCAGCTGTCCGAATGGCCTTTATTATATGGTTTGCTTACAAGCTTTGAGAGAAGAATAAAAGTAGTAACAAAAGTACTGTCGTCTTGTACAGCTGGAGCTATTCCTAATGGACTGGGCACATGGAAATAGACTCTGCACTTACAGCGGGGAGTGCAAAGCATTTCTTAATGACTGAATAATTCACTGCAGTTAGGGTGTGATCAGAGCGCAAGCAGAAAAGGTTAAGCTCAAATTTATCTCTTACAATCGAACTCCGAAACAAAATGCTAGCTTAACTTTAGGTCAGAAAAGAAAAAAGAAATCCAGCTTTGACTGCTGTAATAATATGTTAAAAAAGACACCAAAAAAGCTGTTACACAGCAGAAAAGTAATAGAAAAAGATAAAGCAAAATAGCAACTTCAAACCTGGTTGTTAATCTCCATGACAGCAACTACCTCTATCCGTTAAGCATTTGTAGAGTCAGTACCATGTCCTAGAGTCAGCATTAGCACAACTATGACCTTAAATTAACAGCACTTGCCTGTAATAGCCCAGAGGTGGGCACAGACTATCATCAGTGGCTAAAGCTCCACAAAGGGGCTTGGCAATACAAATTATCAGCTTCGCCTCTATGTAACTTTAGTTGCTTGAGACGACAAAGTTACCCATGCTAATGAGCAGAGAGTTCTCTGTGTTGACCCTTGGTCTCTTTTTCTTGCAAACAGATACTCTCTCAGAATTACACTTTTCAGCTCTTTGGACTTTGTGTACTGTGAATAATCACAGTTGTGAGCATGTGGTCAAATCAGATTTACTAACATATTTGTGCCTACAGAGTGTGGGCACTGCTCTCAGCAGGATTGCTTTAGAACAGCCAAGAGAAAGAATTCAGGTGATGGGATGGAGAGAAGTCAGCGGGTGAGTTTTTCTTTCCTGATTGGATCACGTAACTGAGGAGTTCTCAAACTTTCAGATCACATCTGAAAATCACTAAAAAACACATCTCTTCATAAAAAATGTTAAAAACCTCTTTTTCTCCCCTTCGGAAGAACAACAAAAAGAATGAAAGTGATGGAGAGAAGGATGGAAACATGCGGAGAAGGTTTGCTTTTGATAAAATAGACATCAATTTGCATTGCTATTACTTATGCCAGGCAGTGGCTGCTGGCTAATTTCTTGCATCTATCAATTAGAAATGAGCCGAAGAAAGAGCCTTTAGCGACATTAAAAATCAATTTTTGGAAGACATGTTATGTCTTATTAGTAGAGAGGAAGAAAGCCTGATCCAACGAAGTTGGTGAGGGGTCTGGAGAACAAAT